ACATATGTATGTATTCGATGTTAAACTTGTATGAAACTGCTCATGTCAATCTTGTTGAAAATTCAAATAAAAACTTTTTCCTTGCCGATTTTACATAAAGTCAAGACAATAAATGAAGAAGAAGAATATGAAACCGTTTTATTTTGTGGTCTCATCTCAGCTGTTTACAATCACATTTGTATTAAAGCATGACATGTTTAACCTTGAGATGATGGAGAATATTTATAGCTCAGGTGGGTGATTTTGATGTAGTTTCGTTCTCTGAGTTGGATGGTTTGGTCGTGGAGCTTTCGTTGTTATTTTAAACGACATCATCAGCACAAACTTCAAGTAAAGTGAATATAAGACGGTTATAAGACCTAGAATCAAATCAATGAGAGATACAATCAAAACAAAGAAGTAAACGATGACAGGTTTAAGGTCAATAAGAACCAATCAAGATCGAGGTCTACAGGACAAGCTGTGTATTTATTATTTATTTATTAAAACACATAAACTTTGGTACAAGAAGGCACCAAATAGATATGCGCACATAGATCATTCGATTTGTGTGAGGGCTGGGATACTGCCCGGGTGCCCAGACCAAAGCAGGTGGTTTTCTTCGGGGGCCACTCCCCGAGCCTTGGACCTAAAGGCTTGACCACAAGGCAGTGGAGCGTCGTAAGGAGATGCAGTCCCATGGTAGCCGGTGACCAACGATTGGTTCATACGCCATTTGTTCCCGCAGGATACTAGAGCCCATGTGCACCATTGGTTTGGAATCCGGTTAAAGCGCCGGACATTCGCTTTTCATCCTCTCAATTTCGTAAACAACACACCTGCCACGAGAAGGTAGTGAGTAGGACTTCCCTGGCAGAAGCTGTATACGCGTGGCCGTGTGAGAGCATTTCAAGAGAGGAGCAGGCCCCCCCAACTCTCGGCAATACCAGGGCATTCGGGGCAACAGGACAAGCTGTGAGCCATATGTGGAGAAATTCAAACACTTCACTTCTGATGTTGTTCAGAAAAACGATGAAGGCTTCACGACCGAACCATCCAGCTCAGAGAACAAAACTTCATCAAAATCATCCACCTGAGCTACAAATCTTCTCCATTAACTCAAATGCTAAATTCATATTTTACTCAGCTAAAATGTAAATTATTGCCAACAAAATTTTAATTCAATCTACTTATTAACAATTTTACGTAATAAATATAGGAGATTTGCTTAGACTATTAACTAGCGGAGTTTAACCATATCAGGAGTGACACAGTAATCTACATCAGATGATAGGAGATGGTTATACTGTGGTGTGTGCTTCTTATATTTACATAAATAGTATATGATGTTTGTTGTGAACAGAAGGTCTGGCAACAGAGAGACAAGAAGATCGAACAGTAAAGAATGGAAACAGAATGTAATTTGTATGAAAATACAAGAATAATGAAGTCTGAGTCATTTTGAAACAATTGGTGAACATTTTGCTAATTAAGCATTTACTTTATGATTATTAGATTTTATTAAAAAGTCCTGTAATTTCGTGTCAAACCATTCGATTGTCCCCCACTCTTCTTCTGTCCTCTACAATACAACATGACGAATTGATTAGAGTTAGACATTTATATGATTGAATGTCGTCTAAATGATCTTATGCTTAAACTCATGATGTAAGATCAAAGGTCCTTGGTTCGATCTCTGATGAGTTCATTGATGAACATTGTTAAGGAATCCATTTCTTCTTGATTTTTGATAGTCATTTAATAAATATTATGTCTCGATGTAAACCATGAATAATTTGATATAAATTGACTCTAAACTACCTTATTTCAAGATATATCTCAGTAATTTAATCAATTAAAGTGTTAAAATCCAAGTGGATTTTTTATTTAAATAAACATTCATAACATATGTTACTATGAATTGGTGAATTTCTTAGATTCAACACTGAATTTCATTCAACTGAATAAATTACATCTGGTTATTCGTTTTTAATTTGTTTGTTTGTTTGTTTCTATTCACCTTTATGACAGAGAGTTTCTGTACTGTTTACAATAATATTTATAAGCTGTATAATCATTGTAAATATGGTCATTTGTAAAAAATAATTTAAAAAAAAGAACTGAAAAACAACATTTTTACTGACCATTATTGACAGATCTCAACTTAAACCTTCAAAAACAAAGACATATTTTCTATTTACCGATTGATCAAGCATTGTAACTATTATAGATGGGGATTTGTGAAGATTGTAGTAGTTTAACAGTTGAATTCACGAGTTAGTCTAAGCTAGACTACTACTGGAAACATGGGAGCACTGGATGGCTGTTCTGTTATATTATGGAACTCCTGAACAGCGTGAATCCACGATCCTGCACATTGGACTCGAACCTAAGACACTCAGTCTTGTACGCGAACTCTTAACCCCCAAACCACTGAGCCGTTTAGCATCTAACGGTGTTAATGTTTAACTTTATTCGATCCATGATGTTGCACAACGCTTCATCCATTATCTGAGGTGGATAACTGTCTCCACCCGATACAGATTGAACTACTATGGTCTACATTCAAAATGGAACTCCTGTAGTTCTACTGTGAAGCCATGACTAATGGAGTTCAACCGTGTCAGATGTGAAGCAGTTACACACTGAAGACAATAGATGGTCACGCAATATCGTGGATTGGTTGAAGTTAGATTTTGACACCTTTGAGTGTCTGCTCGATAGTCTAGAGGTTAAGGGCTCGCGCGTGAGGCCGAAGGTCCTAACTTTGAGTCCCGTGTGCGGGATTATGGATGCGCGCTGTTGAGGTGTCTCCGAATAGGACAGAACGGCCGTACAATGCTTTCAAGTTTCCAGTTGTGGTTTAGCTTAGACTCAGCTGTCAAAGATATAACTGTCTGACTTATTTTTAAGCTACATTTTACTACTCATATATGATGAATAGTATTTGGTGTTTTTTGATGGACATTTCACTACTGAATTTACGATAAATCTAATCATGTGTATTATTATGAAAATTTGCTGTAATTTGGCTATAGAGTGTAATAATAGCATCTTTATTGCTTTCCCACTTATTTTAAAAGAGCAATGATACTTTAAATAACTTTTGAAGCCTTCATAGTTAATAAGTGATCACTGAACGTATATATATCTTATCAACTAGTTGCCAGGTGATTATTTTAACTATTTAATTGGGAGAAATATATTATGTCGTTGACTTCTAACTGAAACATGATTAAAAGATAGTTTTTGTTGTACACTTACAATGATTAGAGTGGTATTGATAACTAGAATGAATTTGACAAATGTTTTTTTTGTTTTGAGAGTTGAGAACAGTGACTGATTAAGGTGTGTTGTTTTTGCGCTTATTCACAATCACTTATCTACATAATGAATTATGGGTATTTCTAGTATGAGGCTTAAACTTAACATTGAGATAGTTGATTATTGACGACACTAGATAATCAATTTATTATATTACAGTTGACTGAAGTTTAAAATGTGGACTGTTTTATTTTTTATTTGTACCTAATATCCCTTATGGAGCATAGGCCGTCGGCCAAGATTCTCCAGTCGACTGTGTCCTGGACTCTTCTTTCCATTTTTTTCCACGTGCTATTCATTCTTTTCATATCTGCCTCCAATCACCGGCACAATACGTTTTTCGGTCTGCTTCTTTTCTTTATAACTCGGGATTCCAAGTCAGGACTTGCTTCGTGATTCAGTTCAGTGATTTCCGCTAAACGTGTTATCCACCTACAGCGTCTTCTCATAATTATCGCTTCAGCTGAAAGCTGGTTTGTTCTCTACTATGGTACGCAGCTGCTAATGGTATCCGACCAGCGGATCGGAAGTTTCTTGTGTAGACAACTACTTATAAATGCCAGTATTTTTTTATAATGGTTGCAGTAATTCTCTTCCCAGAGACTTTTTAATGTTACTGCATGTCACAAGCCTGAATAAAAGAATAGACTTAGGCATGAGGTTAGCAAGCTCTATCTATAGAAAAGAAGCTTGCTAAATAATCCGTATCAAAACTATTGGATACAAACTCTTTTTTTCGAAATTATTCAGTTTATCATACCATATGAATTTTTATGATCTAATACCTCATGTGTTTATTGAGGGTTAGTTTTGAGAAGTCACAGTTAGTAGTAAAATATCTATTCAGATTTTTGATTATACTTTAATAGATGTGAATTACAATGGAAATTATCTTCATAATGAAATAAGCATAAACAAATCAGTCATGTAAAGTGATTGTTCAGTAGATTCAACCGTTATTTAACCAACATTACGCTTCCATGATTGGAAAAATTGATGAAATTGGGAGTAGAGAATTGTTAAATGGATGAACTTAATGGAATTCAAATGAATGGATTAAAGGATATTAGAGAATCTAAAAGTTCTATAGGATTATATCACTATCCATTTATATTATGCATATTTAGCATTTCTAAGAGATATGAACTTTTTCCTCTCTTTGATACATTCACATTCAATATAAGGCATAATTTAACATTTATCAATCAGAATGAGTAATAGACTATTCTCTTTAGGTCATGATTTATGCCTTGTAAAACTGAGCTATTTACAATTGCTTAATGATTGAGTAGTGAATAATGTCATGTTTATTTAGTTTTGAGTACTGATTGAATTCAATTTACAAGTTTCAATGTGAGCGCTAGTCTGAGTGACTAAATATTGAGTGCCCTGTTTTCAAACTTTAGGTAGTTAGAAGTAATTTACACAGAATTGTGGATCTAACATCTCAACGTACTATACGCGATTTTAAAGCATTCAAATTAGTGTCTACTTTGTAACTTGATATACAACACATAAAGGACTAAATAAATATATCATTGGTATTTACCTAGTGATCAATTGATTCCCAACCTTTACACATTTAATTGGTATTTATGAAAACATTCCCAATATTTTATGGAAATAAAAATTATCAAACACAAGGATCATAAACATATTAATTCGTTTCTTTTATTGTCCTTTTCAACAATTTTCAGTGGCTGCCGAAAGTTTTGATCCAGAAAAAGACAGTGATGATAATAATGAAGAAGAGAGACAAATTTATCCGAAATCTGATAGTCAACGAGCTAGGCTAACTAATGCTGTCAAAGAAATCTTACTCTTTCGATGTCTTGATGAAGTAAGTCTGAGCTGTTTTCCTTTTATTATTCATACTATAGCAAATCAATCTGGACAATAACATGGTCATGCTACTTTGTGGATATTATAGTAATTTTAATAGTTGAGATCATGATTCAATTGAAGCTAGACGACCATGGAAAATCTAGAAGCACTGGACGGCCGTTTCGTTATAGTATGTGACTCCTCAGCAATGCGCATCCACAATCCCGCCTCGCTAGATTCAAAGCAGTGACCAGTAGGGTTCAACCGTGTCTGTTGTGAGATAGTAACTTATTTAAGACAATGGTGGATGTGTTATTCAATTTCGTGGATTGGTTGAAGTTAGGTATTAACACTATGGTTAAGCGCTGGCGTGCGAGATTGATAGGTCCTGGGTTCAAATCCGACGAGACGGGATCGTAGATATACGCTTTTGAGATGTCCCATACTAAAAAGAAACAGCCGTCAATTTCTTTCAGGTTTTCCATGATAGTCTAACTTTAATTAACTGATGTATTCAATTATCAAATTACTATAATATCCACAAAACTCCACTCTAAATAATTGTATCTTCTATCACTTGTTTACTTGTTATAAATCTTGCAATTATTTCTCTCTCTTCATAATTACATTACAACATTATTTAAATATTATTTATCTTTGTTTACAATCAACATTTCACTGACCTTAATCTAAGAAAAGAAATAAAGGACAAATGAGGCTTAGAAATTGAATTAATTAACACATTTTAGCATATCATAGATATATTTTAAAGATATTAGAAGAAGAAGAAGAAGAAGAAGAAGAGAGAAGAAAACCATATTCAAACTTGGATTCTCTATCAAGATGAACGGATCATTTTCTTTTTGTAAATGTGTTTCTGAATTCATTGTTGGTTTAATTCATATTCCATTTTCTTCTATTTTGTATATCTTGATTAAACAGCATTTCTTTTGTGAATATATATAAGGGAGATAAACATGTAAACATGACCTTCTGATAGATTCATGAATAAATATAGTTATCGATAGATGAGAAAAAACTATCCTTATGAAGAAACATATATACATGTTTCATTAAAATCTATTAAGGAGAAATTAACCATTAGAGGCAATCTTAAACTTGTTTTGTTTTCAGTGAAGACTCTTCAGAAGTACACAATAATAATGGACTAGATTTAATGTTGTTAGAATTTATTTAAGTCATGATATTATTCTATGATTGAATCGATATATAATGACCCATACATACATATAATACACCAAAGTGATGTTATGTCACTAGTGAGAGACATTCACATTGATCTATGACTATGAGATCTTGAAGTTCATTTGAGATGTATTATATGAGATCAGTTTTAATAATTTGTATTCATTCATTTTATCAATAGTGAAATGTTCAGATATGTATAAAAATGTAAAGATTTTTTTGTATATGATGACCGCAGATTGAATGAATTAGTATCAGATAGTGAATTTCTGATGACGATCTCTTGATTTCAATAGTTAGAACTTTATTTCATATTATTATATAATTCCCTGTGAACAATAATGGTTAAGCTGTTTCTCTCCAAAATGCCCTGATACGGCCGAGGGTGGAGATAATCCACTCTCCCTCTCGAAATGCTCTCACGTGGCCACGCGTATACAGCCTCTGTCAGGGAAATCCTACTCACTACCTTCTCGTGGTGGGTGTGTTGTTTACGGAGTTGAGAGGACGAAAAGCGAATGTCTGGCGCTTTAATCGGGTTGGGGGACACGGATAGTTCACCTGGAGGAGTTGGAAAACTCTGATTCCCAACTAAAGGTGCACATAGCCTCTAGGATCCTGAGGGAACAAATAGCGTATGAACCATTTGTTGGTCATCGGCTACCATAGAACTGCATCTCCTGACATTGCTTCAGTGCTTTGTGGATTAGACCTTCAAGTCAAAAGATCGAGGTGTTGCCCCCTAAGAAAACCACCCGCTTCGGTTTGGGCACCCGGGTAGTATCTCGGTCCTCACACAAATCGAATGATTTATGTGGCGCATATCTGTTAGGTGTCTCCATGTATCAATGTTTATGTGCTTAAATAAATCTGTTAGGCTGTTTTATTAATTTATCTATTTTAGTAAAGTCAACTCAAGACATTCAAGTTTTTCATGTACTACGGTATTACTTGACCACTGAGTTAAAATCCGATTGTTCTAATTCCTTAATTCCATGTATTTTGAAAAATAGATAAATCAGTATACCAAGCTACTGTTGGTCAACTCTCAGTTCATAAAAATGTCTTTGAATAAGTGTAATTATTCAATCCCATATATGTATTTTACCCAAAAAATGTATAATTATGGACTTATAACTGTAGAGCCTAATGATGAAGTTATTAAAAGCAAGTTTTCGCTCAAATATTCTTAATTTTTTGAATATTCTATGGGGATTTTTAAACTACAAATTTGGTTTTATCAGTACGAGGTTGTGAAGATTACTAAGTTTCTGATTGAAATCATGAACTGATTAATGTTAGACTACCATTGAAGACGGCTGTTTCGTCCTAATGTGGGACTCCTGAGCAATGCGTATTCACGATCCCGCTCGCGGCATTCAAGCCCAGGGACTTCGGTCTCTCACGTGAACACTTAACCTCCAAGCCACTGAGCCATTTTATGAAATTATCAAAGGACTTGATAAATAAACCGACAGTAAGTGTACACCTGAAAAGGTTCTTAACCACTTCTTTATTTTTGAAAAGTTGAGACTATAATTTATGGACAAGTTTTGAGGAACTGACCTTGAAAATCAGATTTACGATAACAGGTCATCTGTTTGGCTAAATAGCATATTCACATTTTAGCTCGTGATGAAAACGCCAAATCTAATTCTTAACTGTAACCATTAACTGTGAATCAAATCCTTATTTAGCCCTAATATATGTATGTGGACATTCTCAAAATCAGTTTAGCATCGCTCAATGGTCATTCACACATTATAGTCTCATCCAGGTAACTTGTTGAAATATTTAGATGACAAGAACAAGTAATCCAAATATTTCAAAACAGATTGATTTTCAATTTTCACTTAATGTAATTTATTCGTGTTTACCAAGTAATTGATTTTTGTTTTTGTTTTCTATAAGTGGAACACATTCCAATGTTTATTTACTTATTTGTTTGTATTTTTTTAATGAATTGAATTTAATCCCTAAAGCAATGCAATTGAACATTCTCAAAAAATAATAAACTTACTTAGAGATTATGACAATCCAGTAAAAGTAAACAACCTTCAGTTGTTTGGTTGTTTGTTTGTTTGTTTGTTAGACAATTTACAAAATACATCAAGATAAATAAACATTCTCCATGGTACAAATAAAAGGCACACCATAACTTTTACTTTTTCACTTATTAATGGAAATGATATGCTTTACAAATTAATGTTGTGAAGAATAATTCAATATAGAATATTTAAGACTTGTATGTCAATTTAAAAAGAAAAAAGTATAGCGAGTATTATCATTATTATTAGCAGTAGTAGTAATTTGGTGTGTACTACTTATATTGAGAGATATAAGTAGTATATAACATCAATCGAAAGTGAAATGCCTAAAGGTGGAAGGTCGAAGAGAAGAGGACGAGAACTTAAAATGATTGATATAGAAATGAAGGAGCAATGAAATCTGAGACAGCTGATGAACATTTTGCAATGAAGTATTTACTGTATGATTCTGTAATTTTGTATTGAAATACATTCGATTGTCTCCACTGGTGCTCTCGTTCAAAACAGTAGTAGTAGCAACAGTAATAGTATTGGTAAACTTCACCCTAATATTCTGGTTACTCAAATGTCTTAATGATCTTCTCTTAGTATCCATGATACCCTGTTTAACCTAGGTTTCTTGCTAGTTACCACTTGTGAAGAAGATGTACTGTTAAGCGTCAGGAAACTAATAATCACACATAAGCTTCAAACAGCTTGTCGATAAAATCTCACACTATAAAACTGAGTGACTAGAATTCAAACCTGTCAGGTAAAAATTAGTTTCTTTAAGATCACAGCCAAGCCTACTTAACCGGCATCAAGTAGCACGAAACCTAGGTCAAACAATGTTTCTGATCCAACTAACCTAGACTATCCAACATCTAAATCAAATCACTTAGGTTAGTGGCTATACCGCAGATTGATATGTAGACGTTGATTAACTGTTGACGAGAGCTGGATGACTAATAAATTTAAAAACATAGCTGGTAAAAGCATTCGATTCTTCAAAATTCACATAATGGACTTGTAGTGGCTGGTACTATTTCAAGCCCATATAGGTTATCCTAGCCACTGAACAGATCAATCTATTCATTCTTCTCAAGCTATATTTTGACCTTGTTAATCATTCACTTGTCAACCTTGACTGTTTTTATGTGAGCGTATGTGTGTGCACCTCTCATGCTACTCATCACGTGTCCGAAACTTATTTTTATCTGACTACGAATAACGATTAACGCTTGATTTAAATCGGGTTGGTTTACATGCTTCATCTACCGTGCGTTATTTCGCTCCGTTTTTCGGATTGTTTGTCGGGATCAACGATTGGATGAAATACTCGTATTCGAAATTCGTTCTCGTATTTGACTCATTTAATTCCATTCTTCACCAACGCAAGTTAAGTCGATAATTATCTGCGAAGATTGGCGGAATGTGTATGTCAATAACAATTATTCATAGGATCTAACTGGAGTCAATCTCGGGCCACTAAAGACTAATTATAGTTAGGCAATATTACAATATTGAGAATTCGTTAAGGTGAGACTTGTAAATTATCGGGTCCCAACTCATTGCTTTAAAGGTTAAGCACTCAAAGAGAAACCTGAATGTTCTTCGTTTCATCCGTAGTTAGGTTGTGGACACTCACATCTGAAGTGTTCTGTGCTATGACGAAACAACTATCCAGTTCAACATGATCTTCAACGTATATCTATTAAACATTGTTCTATGATATAAACCAAGAAAATTTAACAAACTCAACAAATCCCTATAGTTATAGAACTCAATTTAGTTAACGATTATTCATTAAGCTTAATTTATAAGTAATCAATAGCATCTTCAAAAAGGATTAATTGATAATCAGTCTAACATTTTCTTTTCTCTTCTATTCGAAACGTTTCTCTAAAGAACTACTCTACTATATTTATCTTCAAAGGTTAAACTAATTCTCTCTTTCCTTTTTTTATATGAAGTTACCTTTAAATAATGTTTTTTCAGTCTAATAAGTGATTAAAGCCTTCAATTAGAATGGACTTTTATTTTCAACTACAGAAAATTTATCAAATATATATAATCAGAATGGGGAGTTTGTGGAGATTTTAGTAACATTAGTGATTGAATTCATGAGTCGATTTAAGCTGAACCACCAATGAATACCTAGAAGCACTAGACCGCTATTGGATGCTGGTTTAGTGGTCTAGAGGTTAAGAGTTCGCATGTGAGACCGAAGGTCTTGGGTTTGAGTACCGATGTGCGGGATCGTGGATGTACAACGTTGAGGAGTTCCATACTAAGACGAAACAACTATTCACTGCTTTCAGGTTTTTAATGTTTCTAGTAAACTAATCCGTAACCCGGTTTTCATCCTATTTAGAATTCGTCAGTTCAATGTGCCTGTATCCTAGTATTATCTCGGAGATTCGAAACCAATGCGTTTTATTCAGACCTTCAACGCAATATCAACACTAAGATGCAGATAAATACAGCTGATGAGTCCTAAACAGGACAAAAAACCGGTCTTCACTTAATAAAGCTATCGAAACAATCTATTCAGGTTGTAAGTTGAAAAGTGACTGCTCAAAATTCAGTCCTTAACATCAACAACGGGAATATTTTTAAGCACTTACCAATCAATATCGGCAAATGTATTCTTAAAAAAAATACGTGTCTCAGAAGTTAGTACACCAAATGATATAAGTCGTCTTTATCTATTCATGATTTATACTTAAAACTTCAGTCAGGAATAAAGTCAACAATTTCATGCAATAGTTCCCTTCATGAATTTGAATAAAGCTAGAATAAAAATTAATGCAGAATCATAATAATAATAAACTCAATAGACTGTCGAAGAAAACCTCGTCTTCCACTATGGTTCCTGTACGACGTAATGATAACATTCAAGTAAACAAAACATTCAACAGAGTTTACATAAACCCACTAAATATAGATCTCATATAAACAAAATAAATTCATACAAAACATAAACGAATCATGTGATTATGTAACACCTTTTCTCATTTCACAGACTGATTAAGTAGGGATTAAACATCATTGTTTTCTATGGTGATCTAATTTTTGTACAATATAATTTCATATACTAAGTTTTTCTCTTAGTGTAAGCACTAAATTTTGACCATTTTTAATTTGTATCCGAAGGGGTTTTGTGGAGATTGTAGTTAATTGAAGCTAGATCACCATGGAAAACCTGGAAGCACTAGACAGCCGTTTCGTCCTATCATGGAACTCCTCATCAGTGTGCATCCACAATCCCGCCTCACGAGTTTCGAAGCCAGGATCTATCAGTTTCGTGCGCGAGCGCTTAATCACCGTAAAAATATGAGGAGAATTTTGAACTAGTGTTAAACTTGAATAAAAGGTATGAATAAAGAAGAAAAATAGGTCGAAGCACATCTTGTTTAAAATTAATTAACATAAAGATCTAAAGCAAGGCATTGTGTCAGTTAATACTTACTAGCATGAAATAATCGTAATGTTTTAGAAACTAAGCTTAATTCAAGATACAAGCTAGAATCGTTTAATGTCAAAGGGATATTACTCTTTAAATATTCAGGCCAGTTAGTGTAGTTTTTCTTGTTTCTGTTTCGAAAACAGAGCTATCGAGAATACATAATGATAAACCAAATTTGTAACATATATAGTTACCAGATGGGCTTTATGGATATTATAGTAATTTCAATGGTTAAGATCGTGAGCCAGCTGAAGCTAGACCACCATGGAAAACCTGGAAGCACTGGACGGTCGTTTCGTTCTATTGTGGGTTCCATTTATAATAAACTTAATATGTACCTTGATCTTGACTTGTCAACATTGTAATCATAAATAATAGTCATTTCTAACAATAAATTAATGAGATAATTCACTCATATTTTAATGTTCTACTTTTTAATTTAAGGAACAAAAGTCGAGAGTTATCGATGCTATGCAAGAAATGAAAGTTAAAGAAGGTGATGTAGTTATTAAACAAGGTGATGATGGAGACAATTTCTATGTAATTGAATCGTAAGTTAGCTAAATTTTATTGTGGGTTTTATTTGACTATACTTTAAATAACCTGGTTATTTGTTGAACGTTACAGGAATATTCAATTGATGTTGATGACCTAATGTGTCACTAAAAATACAAAAACTTCAGCCAACAGATGCAGTGTTTCCCTTAAGTTTTCCAAGATAGAGAGTTCCAAGTAGCTTGTAAACACTTCGGTACATACAGCTAGAATTTGAAACTATTCAGTTCAAACCGATGTAGAAGAAAAGACTTAGCTGAAATATTTGAGAATTTTAAAAGCTGTATGCCCAAACTTTATAAACAGAGATGGATAATTGCTAGCAGTGGAATCCAGGGACTATTCAGTTGATGATCCACTTAGCTATTAAATCCTGATAGCCACCTGCTTGTGTAATTGGGTGAAGTTTTAAATTGGTTTAATGGTAAGATACAAGTAAACAACATCAAGTGAATGTATGCCCAAACATTTAAGTGTGCTACCAACATCTGGAACAATTATCCAACATTTCTAGAATATTTGCAAGCGTTAGTAACTTATCAGATAATAATCAAATTATTTACTTTCTTCAACATTCTTAATATTTTGGACAAAATGACATAAAGTTAATGTCAAGAAAGCATCAAAAAGAATATGCAAAGGTTATAATTTTAGAGGATAGAAAATAGATTTGAATAGAAGATAGTCAACGGAATATGACTAGCAAGACATAAATAATGTACAATTTACATTTAATGACGCAATACATAAACAAAAGGATAGCATAATAATACGAGATATCATAAACAACTGTTTCGTAACATGTTCAACATCTAAGTGAAAATACATAGTCAAAGTATCTGCTGTACAACCATTCTGTTATCCAGTGGTATTATTTTGGGGAGATCCAGAAAACTCCTCGAAAAAGGCCAAGAAACTCTTTGAAAACACTGAGAAGCGTTCAGTAGAAGTTTTGCTAGAAACATCAAAAAAGTGAAAAGTCACATGTAGAGTTTCTGATTGGATGATTACTACACTGTTACTATGTTTAGTAGCATTCCAGATTTTTAGGGAAACACAAGGACATCTAAAATACTATAAAAACCCTATATTTTCTGTACAGAAATGAACCTTTGGAGTAAAGTGTTTCTTACACATTTCGCACCGTTTCCCTCGTGTTCAAGTCACTGTGTAAGCCTGGGGCTTAATAGAAGAGCTTAGGAACAGAATATAGTGTTCAATTAGCAAGACTTATCATATTAGATATTAAATATTAGAAACATTTTAAAAATTCATTTTGAATAAAACTAAAGAGAATTCGGCCGAGTAAAGTTTCTTTTCGACGAAATCATTTACTTGAGCTGTACATTTATATTTATAATTGTTTGCTAAGTATAGTGAATGAAAAAAGGCTCTAGGGCGGCCTGCTTGAGCATCTGGGCTACCTGTTCCTGCCATCTAGATATTTCAACAAGTTATCTATTTTTGTTTGTTTTAATATATCATTATGTTTATTAATCGCATAACCTATTCTGCTGCGTTTCTGAAAAGTGTACAACCTTTCGTTGTCAAAGTTACAAACAACTCAATAAGGGACAATGTGGTTGCTGGCAATATACAACGAAAAGAATGCACATTATTCAATTGTTCATTCACTGAAGTGCTAACATCTAACTGGCGATCACTCAATATTTATCGCCAGGACCGACCAAGAAGAGAGAAACGGAAACTTGTTGAAATACTTTACGCTGAGAATTCTATATTTTACCAAAAATATAATATTGAATAAAGCTGATAATAATAATGATAATAATAATAATAATAATAATATAAGTCTATAGAAAAACTGAAAAGATTCGAGATTCCAAATATCAAATGAGGTTGTGAAATAATCAAGGAGTTAGGGAAGAACAAGAGGATGAAAATAATTTACGGGTCAGTATTATGAAAGATAATTGTCCACTTGACAGATATGAAGAAAAATAAATAACGAATTAAATAATTATCATAAGAAATAGTTAAGGATTTGTAGCTGAGGTGGATGATTTTAATGTGGAGTTTTGTTCTCTGAGCTGAATGGTTTGGTTATGAAAATTGGATTATTCTTCTGAACGACATCATCAGAACAACTTCAGGTAGAAGTGAAGTTTGTGCTTGTTGTGATGTTGTTCAGAAGAACGATGAAAGCTTCACGACCAAATCATCCAGCTTAGAGAACAAAATATTTACGCTTTGTTTTAACATGAAATGATGTTGATTTGTAAATTTAAAGAAATTAGACCAAGCAAAGTTATTTACTATATGATTTGATATAAAATGATTGTTTTCGGCAACTTATATTTGTTTATCAATACTTTAATCAATGATTAGGGATTGCCCTAATAAGATATGAATTATTTAATAATCACTAACTTGAAGTCGAACAAGCCGAACAAAGCAAATACATAGCTTCACTTTATTACATTTGTTTATTGATTAGCTTATGATAGATAGAATTAATTAGAGCAATAGGAAATGGGTTATCATATCCCGTAGAACTTTTCAAACAAGTTTTTTACAAACGGAAGGCTATGGATATCGGAGTCTGTAACCATCGTCTTAGTATTGAAAAGAAATTTATAATACTTCTTTAACTTTCTAGAACACAGAAAGCTTTATAAACAACGTTGCTTAATTTCAGTCCTTCTCCATATTCTCTTCTTCACTATTCAGGTATTTAAACATTGATTATTTACACAGTTCATATGTCAGTATTAAGCAACTTCTAACGGTCATTCTTTCTAAGATTTCTCGTGTTTCACCTTAATTCGAATATTCGATCATGTTTGTCATACTGTTATCACGATTCTTACTACTATTATTATTATTATTACTACTACTACTACTACTCACACTACTACTGTTATCTAACCGTAAATCTCCATCAGCTGAAGTGTTTGGCGTATGTGTTATGTATACCCTACCGGAATCTACCTCAACTGGCGATTTTTATTCGGCGGCGGAATAGACTGAACGGCCGAGATGGTAACACTAAGACATGGTATCAGTTCATGAAGTTGTTGATTGTTTTTCTAAGCTACTTATGTAATTGTACACTACTTGGTTAAAGACTGAGTGATTTGTCTCAGAAATGTTATCAGCTCCCCAGGTAAATTCACTCTGTATCTTTTTCTTAGATCCTAAACCTCTCAATTATTCATAGATTCATATTTCTTTCTTCAATCAAATCAGTCCCTATTCTTTTCTATTATCGTTAATACTGCTACTGCTTATACGACCCTGGCATTTCGTTGTGTTAATATGGAAGGACAAACTGACCTAGTCCGTATATGTCCAAGATTCTATGCTACATATGACTGACTGTATATAGGAGTAAAACCTTATGAAGATCCAACTGAATATAATCATATTCTTACATTTGCTTTATCCTAACTTAACTACTGGGAAATTTCGATGTTTGAAATAAAATACTTGCATCAGTACAACAGAAATACTGTAGTCTTATATTTCTTACAAAAACTTATATGGATTATTTATATTACAATGTATTACATATTTAATATTTTTATACACTTTAGAGGCACCTATGATATATATGTTAAACAGAATCAGTCAACTGAAGAGAAAATTGGTGAAAAAGTTGGATCATACAATGGTCATGGTTCATTTGGTGAACTTGCTTTAATGTATAATACATCACGGGCTGCTTCTATAATAGCTACTACAGATGGTATACTATGGCTTATGGATAGAAATACTTTTCGACGTATTGTTCTTAAAGCAGCCTTTCATAAACGTCAAACATATGTAGAATTGCTTGAGGATATTCCATTACTTAAAGAATTAAGTAGTTATGAACGTACAAATGTTGCTGATGCGCTACAATCCAGAGTATATCAAGATGGAGCAACTATTATATCTCAAGGTGAAACTGGTAAAGAAATGTTTATTATTGAATCGGGAACTGTAAGAATAAGTGTAAAAGAGGTAAGATTGAATAATGTTTAATGTAAATATGATCATACAATAACTGTAAAAAATTACATCAGTTTCTTTAGTACTGAATTTATAACCAAAAAACTAATCATTCGAAGAATGTAACTCGTTTGTCAAGAACAGATTTATGTTTTTGTGACCCGGGATCTGACTCCAATTAGATCAAACGAATGAACGTTATTGAATGATTGCTGTCGAAATATACATCCTGACTATTCTCGTATATTTTTATCGAATTAGATTGCATTGGTGAATAACTGAATTAATAAGTCAAATACGAGGATGGATATTTGAATACGTATATTTTGTAAACTCATTGATTTGAACAGACAATCAGAGAATCGTAGCGAATGAAGCGAAGAAAAGAGAGCGAAGCAAAACAACCAGACGTACAGCGGAGAAGGCGTGCGAACAAACTGCATTTAGTCAAGTCGCACAAAAATAGGCTACAGACATGTGATGAGTAAGTTAAATAACTAGCACACATACGATCATATAAATACAATCAAGGTTAATAAGCGAATAATTGACAAGGCTAAAATATGACTCATTAGGAATGAATAAATTGATCTGTTTGGAAGCTAGAATAAGTTATATGCGCTTAACAGAAGAAGTGAAACTACAATGTACTCAACTTTGAACCACATAAGGATTCGTGACTTTATCTGGCGGCTTAGATCAAAGTAAGTTGAGCAAGGTTAGCACCTGTAATTTCTTGCTAAAAAGGGAAGATGTTAACTCATCTCTCCACGTTGTAATCTCTGTCCTCAATTTGAATGCACAGTTGTTGTTTTTTTTTCAGATAAATTCAGGCCTCATCTCATATCAAAAACACAACTACATTTTGCATAAATTGTAAATAACCAAGTGTCTTAAGTTAGTATACATGTGACACAGTTCGAATTCTTCCTAGTATAGTGTAACTTTAAAATTTTGACCATTACATCCTTATACTAAGATCTAAATTAGCGTTATTTTTCTGTATACTTGGAAGCATGCATAGTACGAAGTTTGGAATCATTTCCAACTCTATAATGTTGAATTATTTCAAAGAATTGATGATAATTAAATAAAGAAATATCACTATAATTTAATAATGATCACTTCTTTGTCTAGTGATTTCAGATAGCTTCCTATATCATAATACAGCTCATTTGATGTTAAACCTCCCATTCAGTTATATTATTGGACATTGTTGGTTAGATTGAATCTTCCCTTCTCAAATAAACATTAATTCACCTAATGACACTTATAAGCTTGAATATTCAAACTATTAAGATATTAATCTATGATTATTTAGAAAATGTAAAAGTGCCTACTGAATAATAATATGTCAGTAGTAAATACAATATAATTCCCTTAATTAAATTATCCAAATTACGTAAATTTAGTTGATTGATAGAAAAACAAGTTTAAATAAGTTTTTGTATTCATTAAATAAAGTTTACTTTATGATTTCTACCATAGAATTCAAAAGAAGTGGAATTGAGTCGAGTTGGTAAAGGTGCTTATTTCGGAGGTATGATACATTATTATTATTAATGGCTTTATTCAATAATATAGTTTTCGGTACAGTGTGGAATTTGCAGCACAAAGTATTTCAACAAGTTTCCGTTTCTTATTTCTTGATCGATATTGACGATAAATATTGAGTGATCATCAGTTAAGTGTTATCAGTACAAGGATCGACATCTGAATAATGTACAATGCTCTTCAACGCATATTCTCAGACACTAAAATGTCTGTGATTATACTTTTTTGTACCTTGTACAGAGAAAGGTTGTATAGTTTTGATAAACTCTCTTGAATAGGTTATGCGATTACTAGATATAATGATGTGTTAAAACAAACAAAAAGAACATGTTGAAATATTTTGATGGTAGTAACAAGTAGTCAAAATATTCCAGCAGACCGCCAAACTCCGTACCGTTACTCACTTACTTACTTAAGCCTGTTACTCCTCGTGAAGGAGCATAGGCCGCTCACCAGCATTCTCCATCCAACCCTGTCCTGGGCAACCCTTTCTAGCTCCTTCCAGTTGTTATTCATCGTTTTCATATCTGTTTCTATTATCCGAAGTAATGTGTTCCTAGGTCTTCCTCTTTCCCGCTTCCCTTCAGCATTCCACGTTAGGGATTTGTTTGGTGATGTAGTTTGACGATTTGCGTAATGTATGTCCTATCCATTTCCATCATCTTTTCCTAATTTCTTCTTCAGCTGGAAGCTGATTTGTTGTCTCCCACAAAAGGCTGTTGCTGATGGTATCCAGCCAATGGATGTTGAGTATCTTGCGTAGACAGCTATTTATAAGTACTTGTACCTTCTTGATGATGGTTGTTGTAATTCTCCAAGTTTTAACTCCATACAGTAGAACTGACTTGACGTTGGTATTGAAGATTCTGAGTTTGATATTGGTTGAAATTTGTTTTGAGCTCCATATGTTCTTCAATTGTAGGAATGCGGCCCTTGCTTTGCCAATCCTCGCCTTTACATCTGCATCTGAACCTCCTTGTTCATCGATGATGCTTCCCAGGTATGTGAAGGACTCTACATCTTCCAGAGTTTCGCCATCAAGAGTGAATGGATTACTGTTCTTCGTTTTGGATTTGAGGACCTTGGTTTTCTGCTTGTGTATGTTGAGGCCTACTGATGCAGAGACTGTTGCTCTCCGTACCGTTAATGGATGTAAATATAAAAGTGCCATATGAAGTAGTTCCATGTTAAAAAAAGATAAATCGGATATAGTTATACAATAGTTGATAGTTGAATAGACGTTAGAAATAAACTACTGACATTCTTTGAAATGAGAACTATTTTTACGAATATAACGATTACTATAGTTTACATGAAAAAATTATTTTCGTTAGATAACGATTGAAAATCAGCAAACATTGGATGGTTGTTTCGTGTTAATAAACAACTTTCTAACAGTATGAATTTACAACGTCACTCAAGAATCAAGCCCAGTACCCTTGATTTTGAAACAAATGTTTAAAAGAAATGTTAATGAGTCAGCGTCCAATCGACGTACTTTAATGAACTCATGATAGTGATCAATCATTTTCTATTGTCTGATGTGAATAACTATTTTATACTTGAAATGGCCGAACTTCACAAATCATGTCTTCTTATCAGAATTGCTGAGAGTACCTGTCAAAGTTAGTTACTAGTTCTCACAATAATGTATGTCTTTAAATGCAAATACATATTCTCATTAACTGAAATCCCTTAGAGAAGTGTTGAAAACCTACAACTCTAGATAGTTTTTCTTTTTCTTTTCAATTTGAAACTCTTTATCACTATTTATACATTATGTTTCATGTAATAGTAAATGGTGCCAATGAATAATGTTGACAGTAAAACATTAATTCATTCATAACAGTGATTAACCATTGTATAATATCATGAATTAGATGAAATCAAAAATGTGGACTTCTGAATTTTAATTCACTAAACCGAAGATAATCTTACGTGATCATTTCAATCTTATATAAGATTGTGAATGTTAAGATAGCTGTCCATTGTCTATTAGTTCTCCATGTGATGTTAATTTTTCACAAACTTCATCTTCAGAAGAAATAAACAATTATTTTTTGAAAAAAATTTACTTACTTACTTACACCTTTACTCCTAATAGAACATAGGCCACCAACCAGCATTCTCCAACCCACTCTGTCCTGGGTCTTCCTTTACCGTTCTATCCAATTTTTGTTCATTCTTCTCATGTCTATCTCCATTTCTCAGCGTATTGTGTTCTTTGATCTTCCTCTCCTCCTTTGGCCTTCAGGATTCCATGTGAGGGCAGTCAGGTGCTCTCCTCAGTGTGTGTCCTATTCACGTCCAGCGCTTCTTCCTGATTCCTCCCTTCATTGGGATCTGGTTTGTTCTTTCCCACAGTAGGTTGTTGCTAATAGTGTCTGTCCAACGGATGCGAAGTATTTTGCGTGAGTAACTGTTAATAAACACTTGTATTTTCTGGATGATGGCTTTCGTAGTTCTTCAGGTTTCCGCACCATACAGTAGAACTGTCTTAACATTTGTATTGAAAATCCTGACCTTTGTGTTGGTTGACAGTTGCTTTGTTTTCCAGATGTTCTTCAGTTGTAAATATGTTACTCTTGCTTTTCCCGATCCATGCCTTCACATCTACATCAGATCCACAATGTTCATCAATAATGCTGCCCATTTCTAAAAAAAAAGTAGACAAACATTATTTGACATTATCTGTTCTATACAAACAAATCAGTTTTTATCAGTTATAAAATATACAACAACAATTCAATTCATACGAATAAATACTAAAAATAACAATCTAGTTAGACTAGGTCAATGGAAAAGATAAGGCTAATTCAAAAACAAAAAGTCGGTGTAAACAGTTATGTATTTCCTTTTAATTATGTATATTTATTTAAGATCTTTATTATGAATTATTTATGTGTTATGTCAAATTTGATTGATTAACCTTTTATCTAAGTAAATAAACATTTGATACAAGCATCTATAGAATAGTAAGTTGTTAAGTTGAAAATATTTACTTAGACCTTTCATGGAAAAATATAACAAACTTGATAAGTGATTATATAAGCTAATTTAACTTCAATTCATTTGGTATTGTGTTGTTGTGAACCACCTCGATATTGCTTTGAATCACAAGCTTTATAAGCAAAGATGAATAATAACTAACAGTGATGGAATCCAAGACGCGTGTTTCGTTCTATTTTGGACTCATCAGCTGGATTTACCTGCTCCCTACAATTGATGTTCATCCAACTGAAGAGTCTCAAATAAGATGAAACTCGCGTCCTAGATTTCATTGCTAACCACTGTCCATCTGCGTTAAGCTATACTTACTTAATTACTTACGCCTGTCACCTCTCATGGAGGAGCATAGGCATTCTCCATCCAACTCTGTCCTGGTCAATCCTTTCCAGTTCTTTCCTGTTGCTATTCGACCTATTCATATCTGCTTCCGATTCCTGACTCAGTGTGTTCTTTGACCTTCCTTTTTTTGTTTCCCTTCAGGATTCCAAGTTAGTGCTTACCTCGTGATACGTGCTAAGTTATACTATAGTTAAATATTTAAAACGTAGATATATAAACAAATAATATTGTATTCAATAAATTACTTCCAAATTATGTAATTATATAATCAAATTAATAATCCCAAAGTAATCAGGTTTAAGACAAGTACAATGTTTAAAATGATAGAAATGTGAATTTAGGATTGTTGGTAGAATAAAATGACATTATCAGCGAGAGACTGATGAACCTGGGTTCGAATCTCGCGGGGGGGGCGGAATCGTAGACGCGCACTGCCGAGGAGTCTCACAGTGGGACGAAACGTTAGTCCGGTACTTCTAGGTCTTCCACGGTGGTCTAGCTTCAATTGACTCATGATCTCAACCATTGGAATCACTATAATATCCACAAAACCCCTTCTCATATGAATCACGTAATAATTTACTGGTTGACTTCACCCCAACACGGGACTCCTGAGCAGTGTGCATCCACGATTCAAACCCAGAACATGAGGCCTCGCGCGCGAACGCTTAACTTTTACATCACTGAGCCGACATCCAACGGTGTTAATGTCTAACTTCAATGAATCCACTAAATTGTGCGACCGTCCACGATTGTCTTCAGTGAGTAACTGCCTCACAGCAGACACAGTTTGATTCCATAGGTCAAGTCTATTCACTAGAACTCCAAGAAATACATCTTGAAGCCAGGTACTAGTGAGCACATGATGATTATTTCCAGAATGAAGGTTTTTGGAAATTGTAGTAATTTAGTGGTTGAATGCATGAGTCGATAATTACGCAATAGATGAATCATTCGAAAACTGTTAAATGTTTATTAAGACAACATAATTCATTTATGTCAGTATGTTAGATTTTATTAATTTTCATACTGTCATTATCTCAGATGACTTCCTCCAAATATAAATCTGATTTTAAATGACCTTAAACATAAAGACTACGAATATTTGCATGTAATTAACATCTAGATTTTACCACTCATGTTGTCCAAGAACATAACTTATGAAGTAAGTAATTCACTAAATGAAATAACTACCATAAATCTTTTCTCTATTTTCATTAAATTTTCAAGAATTGGCATTAATTACCAAACGACCTAGAGCTGCTTCAGCTTATGCTGTAGGTGAGACTAAATTAGCTGGTAAGTGTCTACTGATTCAACGTTGTGTTTTTTTAACTGTTATCTATATATATTCTGTAATTCATTCATACTGACTGTTTGTATCTTTCCCATGGTGCTTAAGAATGCAGTTGATCAGGCTCTTTTTGGCAAATGTGTATACTGTTCGGATTGCACCAATAACACCGTTAAGCCACAAGTAATCGATTCAATGAAGTAAGATGGTGACTTGTAGTGGAATCAAAGACGTACATTTTGAACTAGTATATCCAATTGGCGAGTTCCAAATGGGATAGAAAGTGCGTCTTGGATTTCAATGCTAGTCATCCCCCAACTATCATTTATAATTGTTTATTTTGTTACTTTATTAATTATGTTCGTATTTCAATAATTGAGATTATGTGTCGACTGAAGCTGGATCATTATGTAAAACCTGGAAGCACTGGATGGGCGTTTCGTCCTGTTGTGCAGCTCCTCAGCATATTCATAGTGTTGTGTAAACAGTAGAAAACTGTTTTACAAAAAATACTTATTGAAATACAATCTGATTTAATTATGATTAGATGTAACTAACAATTGTTCTGAAAACTTTCTAGCTCAGAAAGCGAAAACTCGCCTAAATCATCCACTTGAGCTACATACCTTTTCCATATTAGTTCAATTTGTTAACAAGTCTTTCAGTAAATGGAATATACCCATTACGACATTAAATAAGAAAGATAGGTTCAACGAAGAATTCCCGTTTCGGCGAATTCATTTTCAAAGCTGTACAATCACAAATATATGCACCTATCTTTTTTCAGGATGATAAAATTACAATAATAATGATAATAAACTTCTGTTAGACATGGTGACAAAGAGGTAGAATAAACAAAGGTGTTAAAAAAAATTTTTAGACAGGGAAACTAATAATCGTTTGATTGTTAAGGGTTTAGATTCTTCTCAAAAGATACATAAATTATCATTGGGAAAGGATAGCTCAGGATGATAAGATAAAATGTTGAAATTGAGATGAAATGTAATCAGGAGGATCGTAGAAACAGAAAGAAACCAGTTGGGTGTAGAAGGTTTGAGGAGAAAATGGAAGGAGAAGTAGACAGCTGTAAAGGAAGAAGAGTATGAAAAAAAATTATAAGACATGAAGTCCATGGTAGAAGAACAAGTTGTACCAATCTCTTTTATGGATACACAATTCTGGTTTTTCCAGATATATGACTATTGCTTTGGCAATGCTAAAAAGATGAGATCTAATTTTCTTTGGAAATCTTCTACTTACTTTGTAGATGACTTTGAACGCAGGGTCTGTCTTGATTGAGTGACCTGTGTTAACAATGTTTTTGATTATTGAACTTCATATTGAGTCGTTTCCTCTTCTTTGTGGCCACGCCGGATAATGTTCTTGAATTCTTTTGGATAAACTACGCATCGAACGACCTATATACCTGGCTCCACATGAGCACGTAAAATGGTAAATGCACATTGAGTTTGATAGATGAGATGATTTATCCTTAAGATTATTGGTGAACAATGATCGGCTGAAGAATACTATTCAGAACGTGGCTGAGAAGAGCGTTCTTTCTAAAGAATCAGAAATTCTGCTCTTTAAGACGTATCTGTCTCTATCCCCCTTAGAGCCGATGTTCGTGTATAATGTTTTCTTTTTGACTGAAGTTATTTGTGTTGTTGACGGTTTCGGTTTGATGTTCTGATCAATTAATATCGAAGAATACGCGTTTTTGATAAGTATCTCCCTCAAGAGGCTCAGTTCGTCGTCTATGACTTCGGGACTACAAATTCTTTGTATTCGCGTGGCGAGTAATATTATTAAGTTTCTCTTTCGACTAATGGGAACCCAATTGTGGAAACTTGTTAGTCGGACATTCCACATGGGTTTCTTTTTAGAGTTTAACCTAGTTTTCTTGTCATTTCCACATCAAAAATGTGAATATTTTGTTTGTTTCCAACTTCAAGTGTGAAATTTATATCTGGGTAATTGTTATTAAATGTCGTTATAAAATGACTCAAATCATATTTGTTGTCACAAATGATAAAGATATCATCTACATACCTTTTATACAAGTGGAAGTTTCCTATAGTCGTTTTAAGGTGGTTGTTTTCTAAACTGGCCATGAAGCAATCTATTAGTAATGAACCAACACGGGATCCCATTGCTATGCCATCATCTTTTCTATGAATTACGTCGCTGAATATAAACTGTACATTGCAAGTGCAACGTAGTAATAGTTCCTTCAAATAAACTTCCGGTATTCCGATGCTTATCGCATTGTTATTTTCACAGTTGCAGATAAAACTTATGGTCTTCTTGAATGAAACATTAGCGAATAATGATTCGACATTAGAGATAGCATAATTTTGTCATTTACATCCACTTCTTTTATGTGTTCAATGAATTAAAAAGTATCATGTACAGAGTGTCTACAAATGCATTTTCTTACGGGTTCTAGGTGGTCTGCCAGCCACTTTGCCATAGAGTGGTGAGGGGATCCGGACATATCAATAATTGGTCTGAGATATAAGCCAGGTTCGTGTATTTATGGCAGACCATATAACGGCGGTATAATTTATATTGTTGGTTTTATGTGCTCAAGGATATGTTCATCGATTGATTGATCATTTTTTCATTCTCTTAAGAACTTCAATCAGTTGCTTTTCACTTATTTCAGTCTTGTTTTTCTCATTGATTAGTATGGAGAATTCGGTGTCATCGGATAATAACTTTGTCATTTTTTCGACATAAATCTTTAGGTCTAGCAGCACTAAACTCACACCTTTATCTGAAAGTGTTATAATCAAGTCTTTAGTGTTTCTAAGTAGTTTTAATTGATTACTATCTTTCGATGGAAATTTAAGCCATTACCAATTAAACGATTATTAGTTTCCCTGTTCAGAAAAAATTTTTAATAACTTTGTTTATTCTACCTCACTGTCACCATGTCCAACAGAAGTTTATTATCATTATTATTGTAATTATTATTATCCTGAGAAAAGGTAGGTATATATATTTGTGATTGTACAGCTTTGAAAATGAATTCGCCGAAACGGGAACTCTTCGTTGAATCTATCTTTCTTATTTTATGTCTTAATAGGTGTATTCCGTTTAGTAAAGAAACAGAAATAAACCAGTGGGAGGGTAGAAAGTTTAAGGAGAAGATAGAAAGGGATGCAGTTGACTATAAAGGAAGTAGAGTATGAAGAAAAAAAGAACAAAGAAGAAAAATTATGAGACATTAAGACCATAGTAGAAGAAGAGGTTGTACCAATCTCTTTTATGGGCACATTAATCGGCAATCTTTCTATGAACTGTGTCTTTAAAGTATCAAATTGTTATTTTGAAGTGGATAAACAGACATTTTTTCATGGGTTTGTTCTTACGGAAATTGTTCGCTTATTGAAATGTACAAATAAAATAAGGTATAGATTTTGAGATGGTGAAGATTTGTAGCTCAGGTGGATGAGTTTGTTGAAGTTTTGTTCTCTGAGCTGGATAGTTTGATGGTGTTTTACGAATGTGTCGTCCACATAAAGAATCCTAATTTTTGGCTTAATCACTGACAAGATCGAGGCTTCTAGTCTCTGCATCATTGCTTCTGAGATAATCCCTGATATTAGTGATCCCATCGGTGTCCCTTGTGTTCGTTCACAGATTTTGTTGTTGAATTGAAAATATGTTGTTAAGCATAAATCAATGAATTCTAATAATTTTTGACTTTGAAGCATCGTGTACTTTGCAAAATTTGCGTCATTGATTGAGAAGTAGGGACAGAATTTCCTTTGCTAATCTTGATTCAACTGAGGTGAATAATGCTGTTACATCGAAGGATATCATCAGTTCGTCATCGACCAAACCATCCAGCTTATAGCACCTCACGGGCAATTGAGTTTGTTCTCATTCAATTCAGTTAAACACTTTTGTTAACTTATTTAGCGGACAAAGTCATCCTTACTATAACAACTTATTGTACCTTTATTATTGTTGTGCTTGTATGAAATATGTATGCTAGCTTTATCGTTAGCTGCTTAACTGAATCGATGATCCATTCATGTCCCTATATATATAAACCTACATACTCTACTCTATCGGTACGCTGACTCATTCATTTGCCTCTGCTTTGTAGCCTGAGTTATCTGCTAATAAAACTGCAGTCGCTGGTTCCTTTTGCCTTCTGATTTCAAACACCGTTGAGGATTATATGATAACGATTACGAGGGTGGTTGGTCAACGAAACACAGCCACTACAAGCTCAGAGAACAAAAACTTCACTAAAAAGGCATAGATTTTCCATATAGTTGTATTTTTAAATGATTTTTATACTAATTGAAGAATATTTTTGAAATACTACTGTTCTTCAGATTCATTAAGTAGTATTATTCAACATTTAGCCAAAAAAACAAAACATATTTCTTCTTTTAAGAATAAGTATACTTCAGTTTTTTTCAACTAGAATAAGAACTAAAGATTTAACTAAATGGCATGTAAAGGTATATCCTACGCATTATACATGTTCTCTACTTTCCGCCCATTAACTACTCAATGGCTAGTAATTACGTCTGATTAAAAGATATTTCAATTACATACAAATAAACATGTCCGAATTATAGTAAAGAAGATCTGGTTCAATTATGGATATACGTTTAAGATTGAATTCAATCTATATTCATTAGAACTTTGCATTGAATTATTTCTCTGACTTCATTTACATTCATTCAATCTTTCCATTTAAGTAATACATTAAACCATACATAAAATACAATTTTTTCAACTGATATTGAGTACAGGATTGTTATAATTAAAGGTAAAATAAGAATGAAACTGATTACAACAGTATTCTTTATTATAAGCAAAGATGGATAGTGGCTAGCAGTGGAATCCAGGACGCGCGTTTCGTCCTGTTTGGGGCCCGTCAGATGGATGTACCTGCATCTCAGTGTTGATGTTCACTCTGAGACTCATACCCAGTACCGTTCGCTTCAAACGCCATCGTGTTATGGTTTTTTTTCTACTATTGATATTTGAGACAGAATTTAATCAATGAATCATTCGTTATGTTCCCTTATGTTACATGTTTTACTATTTTTCTAGACAGTGGTTTTTAATACGATCTAAAAAGTCCGTTTAACCTTACCTAAGATTCATTAGACGGATATAATTAGATACTAGTGTTGATAATCACACGGAGATATCAAACAAGTTTCTGTTAATTTGAACGTTAATATGCCATCTAATAAATAACTAAGCCGCGATAATCATTATCTTATTCAATGGATATGATAATAATTATTAATAACAGAGTATGCTTTTTTGTTGTTGTGAAAACTTAAGATAAACATCAACAGTAGGATCCCGCGAAAGGGATCGTGGATGCGCACTGCTGAGGAGTCCCACAATATGACAAAACGGCCGTCCAGTGCTTCCAGGTTTTCAATTGTGGTGGTCTAACATCAACTAATTCATGATCTCAATCAAAAACATAAAATAAAACAGATTGGACTATAACCCAACATTAGAAAATGTAATGCAGTTATTCAGTTTTTTAAAATCATACTACTCCCTTCTGATATGAATCAACATATGCTCACTAGTGACTGGTTTCAAGAGTTACATCCTGGAATCCTAGTGAGAAGCAGTGACCAGTGGAGTTCAACCAGGTCTGTTGTGAGTTAGTAACTCACTGAAGACAATGATAGATGTGTCACTCAATTTCGTGGATTGGTTGAAGTTACACAATAACACTGTTAGATACCAACCGACTCAGTAGTCTAGTGGTTAAGTGCTCGCGTGCGAGACTGACAGATCCTGTGTTCATATCCCGCTAGGCGGGGTCATGGATGTGCACTGCTGAGGAGTTCCACAACAGAACAAAACGGCCATCCAGTGCTTCCATGTTTTCCATGGTTGTTTAGCTTCAATTAACTCATGATCTCAACTATTTTTTAAAAAAAGAAATACCATTGACAATTTAATCCATATTTATGAACAATATCATATTGTTTTAATTTGTATACTGTTTTTATTTGTGTTTTTTTTCTTTGAAGTTTTGGATGTTGCAAGTTTTGAACGTTTAATGGGACCATGTCTTAAAGTTATGCAAAGAAATATTGATACATATGAAAAACAATTAACTGAATTACTTGGAAACTAATAATCAATTAAAATTAAATGAATTTAGATCAAAATAATTTAATTCTATAGAAATAAATAAAAAAAGAAAACTTTTTCTTTCTTTCTTTTTCGTTGTTTTTGTTGTTGTTTTTGTCGTTGCTACTATCTTTTTTCTTTTTCAATGTTCAATCAAAACCCAAGATGACTATTTAAACAAATGATCTTTCTATATATATACATACATTTATGAAAAAAAGTATTCTGTTTATATATTACCAGTTCATTTTGTCAATTTAATGTTTACATTTCAGATTCTTCTTGTTTGTTTGTTTTTTTTGTTTTTTCTAAGTGAATGTAAACGTCAGTACAATGTTTAGTTTATTACGTAAAATCGATAAGGTTATTCATAGATATATTGATGATAGTATCATCATAATAGTATATATATATATATATATATATATATATATATAATTTTCTACGGTAAGTTAAACGTTCATCTTGAGTTGCCACCCCAACAACAACAAAAAACAAAGACGAAAAAACAACAAAAAAGATACATATTACGTAATACCATTCACATATGAAATCGAAAGTGATTATCATTGATTATTGGATATAAATCTTCTTTTATGAAAAGAAGAAAACAACAAAAAAAAACGAGCAGCCAGAATTCATTTTCATTTAAGAATATTTTTTAAACGATACAAATGTGTTATTCTTTCTTTCTTTCTCTCTCTTTTTTTAATCATAACAATCAATATTGTAATAAAGTAAAGAAAACAAAAAAAAGATAAGACAAGGTGAGTTACAGTCAAAATGTGTGAAAGAAGAAAAAGGAAAGAAATTTGTGCATTTCCATTTTTCATTCTTGTATTAAGAAATAAAAAAGCGATAGAAAAGAAAACAGATTTGCTTCACTTATTTGACTTATTGATGTCTAGTATTGTAGTGATATTTTGATTATCAGAGAAGGGTTTTTGTAGACATTATGGTCATTTTAATAGTTGAATTCATCAGTTAATTAAAGCTAGACCGCCATGGAAAACCTGGAAATATTGGACGGTCGTTTCCTTCTAGTGTGTTGCTCCTTAACAGTGCGCATCCATAATCACGTTCTGCGAGATTTTAAACCCAGGACCTATTAGTTTCTTTGAACCAATGAGCCGGCTGACATCTAACGGTGTTGATGTCTAACTTTAACTAATCCACAAAATTGAGCCACAGTCGCGTGGTGGGATAGTGGGTACATGCTGCTGAGGAGTACTATATTAGGATGAAACGGTCATCCAGTGCTTCCAGGTTTTCCATGATGGTCTAGCTTCAATTAACTCATGAATTCAACTATCAAATAAATAAATTTATTTGTTCGTTTTTTTAAAGAAAGATAGAGAGAGTGTGTGTTTGGGAAAAGAGTTTCAATGTTTAACAGTTTATCACTGTTTTTTCAATATTTTAATTAAAATAAATGTCAAATTACTTAATCGCTCACGCCTAATTCTTCCCTCATGGGGGAGCATAGGCCACTCAATAAGATTCTCCATCCAACTCTGTCCTGGAAAATGGAAAATGCATTCATATAGATAGTTTTAATTAATAAAGAATAGGATTATAAGAAAAGATGGATAGTGGGTAGCAGTGGAATCCAAAGAGCGCGTTCCGTCCTATTCGTGACTGGTCAGCTGGATGTACTTGCATCTCGGAGTTGATGTTCGCTCTGGGACTCGTAACCTCTACCGTTCGCTTCAAATGCCATTACGTTATCCACTAACCTACTGCTAGCCAGTATTCATTTTTGTTTATAATGCCTGTAATTTAAGGTAATATCGGGAAAATGCGCACAGTACGCACATATGCCAATAAGAGATTGATCAATTGCAGTCCTGAACATCAATGGAAATATTCAACTAAGTAATACCAGATGGATCTAAAGAAAAGAGTTGTTTGAGATTAATATATGTGTTATGTCCCGACAAGAATAATGAATGGTAATTTTGGAATCTATTTGTGGACCGATACTGTACGTATATTATCATATAATTGTTAATTAACTAAACTATTCATATTCATGTCTCTCTTATCATAAGCTTTATTTTAACTTATGAACTGTTACTATACGATTTCCATTCTTGAATTATTCCCTGTCTATTAGTCACTGCCTCCCTCATTCACAGTCACATCTGGCTAATTCTTGTACAAATGTTGTTTCATATTTTACCGGTACGTTGTGGTCTGTTTGATTGGTATATAAACTCAATATGTTTGAAATATAACGGTTCGTATCGCAGAGGCTGGGTTAGGCCGAAAGCAGGACCAATCAGGACTCAAGGCTACTCAAACGTGTTTTATGCGTCATTGATCAGATCGATAAACCATTGCTCCCTAATTGGCGGTCACAAAATATAACAATATGTCAAGAATTTATATCAATTAGGGAAGTATTAAAATCTGTTAGAGTAGGCTGAAATACGACATTCTTAACCGCTTCTTAGTCTCCAGAAATGGTCTACTCTTCAATTATAAAACAGAAAACATATGGCGAAACTGATGAAACAAGACTTAATTAACAGTCTATATATAAAAGAAAAGAATAGTTATAAGATTATATGTAATTTTCAGATTGTAAATGCTCCTATGAAATTCTTATTTATGTATTTCAAAACATAAATATTGATAATAATGGGCACCAAATACATATGCGCCATACAAGTCGCTTGATATGTGTGTGGGCTGTGATTCTGCCCGAGTGTCCAGACCAAAGCAGGTGGTTTTCATCTGGGGCCACATCTCGGGCCTTTGAACTAAAGGTCTAATCCACAAGACAGTGAAGCAACTTCAGGTGATGCAGTCACATGTTAACCGGTGGCCGAAAATTAGTTCATACGCCATTTGTTCCCTCAGGATACTGGAGCCCATGTTCACCATTGGTTTGGAATCAGGGTTTTCCAACTCCCCTGCGTGGATTCACCGTGTCCATTGGCCCGGTTAAAGCGCCGGACATTCGCTTTTCGTCCTCTCATTTTCGTAAACAACACCCTCGCCACGGGAAGGCAGTGAGTAGGGCTTCCCTGTCAGTAGCTGTATTTGTGTGGCTATGTGAAAGCATTTCGAGAAGAAGAGCTGACTCTCCTTACCCTCGGCCGTATAAGGGTATTTTGGGGCTATAAATCTCTACAATTGATAATATATTCGATAATTGTCTAATCAGGATACTGAAACAGAAACTAATAGTCTAGTAAGTTTTAAGTTAAGTATTTTCATTTATATGAAGTGGGTTAGATAGTAGATTTACGAATTACTTTCTATTTAAATTGATTAATCTTGTTGATTAGTAGACAACCCATTTATTAACATATCTCCATTTTCAGTATGGAGTTGTGGAGATTATTAAGTTTTTGATTGAGAACATGAATCGATTAATGTTAAACCACCGTTCACCTAAGATAAATGAAAACTGTAATAGGTAACGAACAACAGAAGAACAAATCAATAAACTAGAAACATATGCTATTGTTGCATTTAACAACTCAACCTGAATTACTAAAACTTCTGCAAACGTACACGTTTTTCGACTCACGCTCTTTTTAACCCCGCTTGTTTATTTAATATGGATTATTTTTCATTGTTTTTTTGCTTCAAACATACTACTTATATTCCATAAATACATACTAATTTTAATAAAAATAATAAAAGAACCAAAATCTATGTATCCCTTTTCTATTCCTTCATCAACTAAATTGATAAAAGATAGAACAAGTAAATTGTAAGTAATAAACATATTTTCTACTACCAAATGTCCTTATACCTATAATAACACTAACCTTGACGACGACGACAACAACAACAACAGCAACAACTCAAAAAGAAACTAATGATTTCCTTTTGTCTTTAATTAAAATCACTTGTCAAAATGAAATTCTCAATGAATCCTTAATAACTAGGTAAATATATGAATCATAATAATTCCAAACTGTCATTGTAACAAATGTGTTACAGGGAATCATGACGACAGAAATAAGCGGATAGATAAATGTTAACGTGTACACACGCACATACATACACAATTGAGTAATTATTTATATAAATACACACACACACATACACACGGGTATGTAGGTGAGTGTGTATGTGTGTTTTGTACACAAACAAAGGTACTGACAATGCATGAAATATAGCTCGATGATTTTTTTCTTTACATTCGAAGGTATTTTTCTAATTTCTGTTTTGTTCCTTCCTGTTAGTGTTTATTTAACCTAGATTCTTATCATTTCTTACAGAGTTTATCTTAATCTTAACTTTTTTTTAATAGTAGGACACATATGTTCAAGGAGAATGATTGACAATAACCGTTTGGACTCAAGAAAATGAATTTTGAGTACAGTATAGAATTCTTAATACTAATTGTGTAATATAACTGATATGTTTTCTAATTGAACGCTAATTCGGTTATTAAGCTCTTCTAATAACCCTGGGCCAGATCTACACAACAACTTGAATACGAAAGTAAAAACCCAAAATATGGAAGAAACACTTTACTGCAAAGGTTCGTTTTTGTACGGTTTTTTATAATATTTTAAATGGCCTTAGGTTCCTGGAAAATTCTGGAACGCTACTAAACACAGTAGCGGTATAGGTAATCATTCAATCAGAACTCAACATGTGACTTTTCACCTTCTAAATGTTTCTGGTCAAATTCCTATGAATGCTGACTCGACAAGATGTTCTCAGCGTTATCAGAGCATTTGTTGACTTTTTCGAGGAGTTTTCTGGATCTCTCCAACAATTACAACAAATAACTATTTAACCCATTTAAATTATAATTATTCAAAGAATTCTAAAAAAAGCCCATATGAAATAAGATTCGTAACTGTGGGTTTGCAGTTCATTTATTCTTCAATGTTCAATCCATGTGCAATTTCTAGCATTTATCCGTTCATTTATTGAGTGAATACTACATATAAAAACATAATTTTCAATGAGGACCCCATTTCAAGCTTTAAATTTCCCTTTATTAGCTTTTTTTATCTGACAAGTTCAAATGTGCTACAGTGTCGTGTTCATAGAAGAAGTATGTAAATAGCTTTAGATGATCGCAATGAAATTCCCAGCGAAAATTACACTTTTAAATATAGCACTTACCTACTAAACAAAAGGGAAAAAATGCTCGAAAACATTAGATATATCACTTTTATTGAACATTGTAAAAAGTATAATTATATTCATACAAACTGTATTCAACGGTCAATATCAACCATTCACCTTCTGTCATTTAAGTTCACTGTCATGGTGGAGATTTATAGATCAGGTGGATGATTTCGATGAGGTTTAGGTCTCTGAGTTGGATGGTTTGTTCGTGCAGCTTTCATCGTTCTTCTGAACGACATTATCAACACAAACGTTTACCTGAAAGCTGCACAACCAAACCATCCAGATCAGAGGACAAAACTTCATCAAAAACAGTTCAGTCAGTTTAGCTGCTTCAAATAATTTTTTTCATCTATTATACATATGCGGCTTGAATACCAATACATTTGTCTTTCCTCTTATCAAAGGATAAACAGGAAAGAAGTTGTGCCGATAACTGTACAGTACTTACAATCTTAATGTATACACTCTGTATAAAGAGCGCGTATGTACATACAGTTAACATTTATAATTATTGAGTTCAAACAATTATAATACAGAAATAGTAACTGCAATATTTGTACATTTGACAAAGTAGATGAACCAAATGTTTAACTAGGCCGCCTGAAACTATGCCCTATTTTCCTTGAACAGAATCCCGAAATGAAATGACCTTTCAACCATTTAATGTATATATCTTTTATGCTGCGAAAAAACAAAAACTCTGCATAATTTTGATGTTCCGAAGGAACTTAGAAATAACCTTAATAGTAA